TGGATTTTAAATCCATTGAATGAATTTAATTTTCTGAACTTTGCTATTTTTAACTGCTTCCTGATGCTTTTGTTGGAACACAGCATAAAGAATCATAAGATCATAAAGTAGGGCTGAAAAGGAACTTCATGAAGTCCTGTAGTCCAACTTCCTGACCAGAGCAAGATCATCCCTTACAAAACCATCCCAGCCAAGTACCTAACTTCCTCTTGAAAAGCTCCATAACTGCTACACACCCTGCTGCTCGTCTGCATCTGGGTTTAGCCCCATTGCAGAGGGGATGGGGATCAGTGGCAAGGGTAAGATCAGGCAGCTGTTCACTCTGAATGTAAAGACGTGTGGTCTGTGCTGGCAAAAGATTGTTGACCCCTGGCATAGGCCATATTCAGAGAATTTTTGTTAGGATTAAAGTTGTTTTTCGTGTCTGTCTTTTTTTCTTCTTTCTTTTTTTGCTATTAGCTTTTAATTTCTTCTGAAGGAAAACTCTTGAATAATATGGAAGAATAATCTTTTTTTGAGAACTCCCTGGATGACTGTTTTCTTCAGATACTGTTAATGGGACTGAGGTCACAGACTGCCCTTATTTAAAAAAAAAACCAAAACCTTCTTTCAAAGTTGCTGCCCTAGAGCTGTGGCTGCAAATAGACATGGTTGTTGTGTTCCCATGAAAATATTTATGGCGGCACAAAAGCCACACAAACAGATATTGTAGCTCTTTGTTATGCCACAAATGCTAGACCATACCTAGGCAGACAAGGTTCTTTGGGTGAATCTGATATATTTTATTAGACCAGCTTAAATAGTTGGGGAAAAAAATTAAGTGCTTGTGGGTCGCATAATTAGTTATGTGACCCCTGACCTCTTGAAAATGTTTTTTCCAACTATTTAAGTTGGTCTAATAAAATATATCAGATTCACCCAAAGAACCTTGCTTGCCTATATCCTTAGACCAACATGGCTACAACCTACACCCCAGACCATACCTAGTAATAGTTTGTGCCACCTTCTCGCAGATGATGTCTATTTGCGTATGGTGGGAGAGTGCAGGCAGATACTCCCAGGGTTTCAAGGGCCCAATCCAATTCTGAACAGCATCCTAACTCATGTCCCATAAAAAGACAAGATCAGGTATGTGATATGACTTGGTGTTGGGGTTTAGACAGCATTAGTATTCAGTTAAAGGAAAAATAGCATTATCTTCATTTGTTCAGTAGTGGTAAAACACTATAAAGTAGTACATTCTGTAAATATTGATGCTATATAGTTCCTGCTTTATAGTTCAGATTCATTTGTGTTGAACAGCACAACACACACAAGCAGTGGCAGGGGTGGGTGGGTGCATTCATAGTACTCTTCTGACAGCTGCCAAGTGGTGATGGGGTCTCTCTGCATACTGCTAGGCTCCATGCAGCCCTGTGCAGTCGGGGGCAGCTCCTCCCCTACTGCTATTCCCAAGTCCTGGTTGTGCTGCTAGGCCAGGGGCAGGCAAAGATCTGGCTGGTAGTGGACTCTATTTCCCAGCTGTCCTGCCTGTTTGGCTGGGGCCGGTTTCCATGGAGACCTCAGCAGCAGCTGCACTGTGATAGCGCGGGGCCGGGGTTTCTGTGGAGATTGGCCCCAGCAGTGCTGGCAGGGTGCGCAGCAAGGCGGGGAGCTGCTCTGGGGCCGGGCTGTGATCTTGCAGCAGTGACAGCACGGTCCAAAGCCAGGGCAGAGCTGCGATCCCCTGCCTAGAACATGCAGGCTGCAGATTGTGCCTCTACTCCGGCTCCAGACCATGCTGTTATCTCTGCAAGATCCGAGCTCTGCCGGACACCCTGCCAGCACTGCTGGGGCCAGTCTCCGTGGAAACCCCGGCCCCAGCCACACGGGCAGAGGCTGCTAGGAAATGAAGTCTGGCCACCAGCCGGATCTGCCATTTTACCCACCCCTGTGCTAGGCGGTGGCCAAAGGCAAGTCTCGGGGCCAGGGGTTGGAGGAGGGTGCTGAGGGCTGTGTATATGTGCCTTGTGTGTATGTATATGCTGTGCAGTGCTGGGGTGGGGGCGGGGAATGGATGGTGTTGCTGCTAGAGAGTTGGCAGGCTGGGAGCAGACTTGTCAGGTCCTAGCCACTCCCCTGCTTGCCAGCCCTCCCATGGCAACTCTGAGCTGTGCATGTTACTTGGGGCATTAACCCTGAACATGCCACTGCCCCTAGCATGTGCTAAGTTAACAATGAGCTAACATCCCTACAGGTTAGCTGATGCTAATTGTAATGGTTAAGCGCACCTTTGGATATTAGGTATTTCTGGACCCTTCTCTATAGCAACAGTGTAATATCTTTCAAGATTTCCTCAACAAATTGAGGCACAAATAAATACTTGGTTGTTTGGTGACTATGCAGGAATGAAATGGACCTTACAGCATGCGACCTAAGTTTTATTAATACTAATACAGCACATTATTCAAAGCTAATAATATCTGTGTCAAATTGGGACAGGTCATCTCTGTGTGCCTATTATTCTTTACTTCACATTGGGTACAAGAAACCCTGTAGTGTACACATCTATGTAATAAGTTTCCCCAAAAGGCAGATTCTTTATTATCCTTGTCAGTTATCAAAAATGACAAATTGATGTCATTTAATGAAAACTTTGCTGCCTTTTCACCCAACTGATGTTTTCCTTACTCAAATAAATGCCTATCACTTTTTGGAAATTCTCCCAGTGTCTTGGCCTGAATAGTACTTGGGGCACTGAATTCCAGTGACAGTAATGTATTTTATAAAGTGTTTTACTTCTCAGTTTAAAAATTGTTCCTTTTAAGTATAATTGAGTGGAGCTTTCTTATATTGTGTGAGGAGTTTTAGAGGAATGCTACTTGGTTTTCCTTTTTCTGTACACCATTCTTTGCTTTGTATACTCATGTCTCTCCTAATCCCTCTTCTCTAGTAGGCAGCTGTATTCTTTCCATGTGGAAGTCTTTCCATGCTTATTGTAACTTCTGTCAGAGTCCTTCTTTCTTTGTGACCAGAACTTAATATAGTAAGTGGTCTGAGCCAAAATACGTTTTGTTTAATTTTATTGTATTTAATTGTATTTATTTATTTCCTGATCCCTGAATGATGATATAGATTTAAGGCAAAAGGAATTAACCAGTCATGTATTCTGGAGTAGACCATATGTATGCCATCAGCCCTAGAGGTTCACTCTGTTATCCCTGCTATGGTAATTGAGAACCTGGCAATATGTAAATGCAGTTACAATTGTTTCTTCTAAAGCGTAACCTAACATTTCTGAGCACTTACTTTGCCATCATACTGTCCATTCATCTAGCCCAGGAGTCAGCAAACTGTGGCCCATGGGTCAGATCTGGCCCATCCATAGCAGGTCAGCAGGCTCTAGCCACAGCAATAAGAGGTGTTCCCCAGGTTCTGTTGCCTGCTACGTTGTTTTATTCTCTCTGTTTCAGCAGGGGGCAGGGGGCATCCCAAGGTCCTGACTCCTTTCTTTTTCTATCTACCCCCTTCACATCACCTGCTGATTTGCCAGGGAATGCGGGGGTGCAGCCTGAAGCAGGGGTGGGTCATAAGCAGTGGTGCACAGCAGCCAAAGTCTTAGACTAGTCTTGACTGATCTAAATAATTCCATCACCATCAGGCTTTCCCATTTCCATGTCTTTCAATTTGTTCCACTTTCATGTTTTACACACAGTGTGGAGTCGATTAAATGTAAATTGCCTGTACTCTCTCTTCTTCTGAAGAGTTGTACCTCAGAACAATTTTTTTTCAACTGACCTGCTTTTACCTGTTGCCCTTTTTTAAAATATCTGCCTTGGGTACCCATGTCCCCCTTATGGGAAACATTTTATAATCTGGTAAACAACTTAACTTTGTAAGCAAGATGTGGCTAACCTTATGCCTATAACATCCTTTATGCTGAAAGAATGCAATGGTGATCTTAAAGAAAAAAAATTGCAGTTGTAAAATGGTGCTGCCAGAATATGCATGTTCATTCCCTTCGTTGTGGAAAAAGGTACCACTTAATTCCTTTTTATTCAAAGGTGACATCATTTAACTTTTAATGAAACGTTCTAGGAAATATTTTGCTTTATCTCTGTCAAGTCTGATATAATTTGATTGTGTCAGTGTCATAAGCTTTTCCCCCTCCCCACTTCTCCCTACCCCTTGTTTTTCGTTTTTTTTTCCCAGCAGCTATATTGTTCAATCATGTAGCAAGTCCAGATGCAGTTCTTGGCACACTTCCCTGCATATTTGACAATTGTTTCTATCTGCTGGCAGGTGTTTGAAAATAACATTTAATTTCTATTTTACCTTGTTTATTGTAGAGTGCATTACCAGAGCACCAGCTAAGTGGATTATGATGAATTCCTGCCACACACATAAGCAGCACGTGGCTCCTGCTGGTTTTACCAACCCTCATTAATTTTTTCTTGTTCTGTTTCTACAGGCTGCTTTGTATCGACTCAGTGGGGACTGGAATCCTTTACACATTGACCCAAGTTTTGCTGCTCTTGGAGGTGAGCTGTGAGGGATGCCATTTTTACTAATGATAGGTTAGAAAACGTTAGGAGTTATTGTACATCAGTGTTGTTGTACATTTGCATGTCTGGGGGTGTTGAAAAGTAAGACTCATTTTTTACTCCCTCTTATGCTTAATTATAAGCATCATCTTTGTAGGTTAAAATAATGTACTGTGCTGGTTTGGGGATTTTTTTGTTTTGTTGTGTGTGTTTTGTTTGTTTGTTTTTTGTTTCATTTTGAAGTACTGCTGCCTTTGGCTAAATCAGTGATTCTCAAGTGAGATGGGTGTTGTAGCAGTCTGGGATGTCTTTAGAGTCTTTCCGCAGAGCCTCAGGGTGCCACACAATGTTAGCACTGTTATGTGTGCAACCGTATTTCACACAATATTCCCAGAGGTGTCAAATGGGAATTCATAGCATTAGAGATGTTCTGACCTGTTGTAGTCCTTTTTTGAGTTCTTTTCAGCAGAATAAATTGCTCTATTAGTTGTCTCGAGTCAAAAAGCAAGTAAGAACTAAGAACTGGCATTTTCCAAGGAGTGCCTTGAGTCTAATGAGAGGGGCCTTGAGTTTAAAACGGTTGAGAGCTACTGGGCTAAACTAATTATATCTCCCTCCCTGGAAGAAAACTGCCACCCTCCATTTATCTTATAGGAGACTATTCTAGCACTTTTCCCTCTGCCCAACCTCCGCTGTAAATTTGTAATTTACTGTTATAATCCAGTGAGTTGATGCAAGTCCCTTTTG